GCATTAGGGTTTAACAGGATACATTGTGGGGGTATATTGAGGTCTTACTCCAGTGTGAAGAGGGACTTATGTCACCTAGACCAGATGTTGCTCAATTTTCTAAGTGGAGTCACAGGTTAATACTCTCAAAAGTAAAGTTTGTACTTTACAATTAGAGTAAAAGAAGACTGTAGAAGGAGGAAACCTTACTTTTAGCAGACACAAGAACTAAGAAAAGGATTCTGCGGTCCAAAAGCACCCACTAGCTTTTTTTTACCGTATTGTGGACAGTGGAGGGTAGATCATGCTGCACTATTTGGCACTTGAGGATCTGAAAATTTCAGCCACATTTTCTCTCATATTCTCATGTCGCTTTACTCTGGTGTAAAACAAAATCATTCTCTTTTGTTCCACAGCTAAGCAAGACACTTGTTAAATTAAAAAAATACATGATCATTATTGTAACGTCTTCAAGAAAGTACAGACTCTGTGTCTGCATAGAGTAAAGGGACGTTCAACAACAGCGTTGCCCAGCTATTCATGTCAAAACTCAGGTTTTTGAAAATTGGCCTCCTCTTGTCACTTTACAGTATGTGGTAAATGTGGATGACTAGAATGACATAGACAGGTATGACATGGGCCCACTGGTGTACTTCCTGCTCCACAGTTCTAGACTGGCGCTTCTGTGACCGCCTGTATGGCTGCTTGTGTCTGGCTGCTTGTGAGCCATTGGTTTCTTGTTGATCTCCCATGGGAAGTCCTCGATTGGTAGTGGGCTAGCGGGGCTGCCCGAACCCTCTGGTGTTGTCTCGGGAGTTCCTTCGATGATTTCGATTCGAGGCGGGTCCATGAAATCCATAATGCTGAAGGGTGCTGGCTCTGGTTGGCACATCACTGACTTGTCCTGGGTATGTTGTCTAACAGCCCAGCTCGAGCCCGTTTGAATCCCTATGGACACTCTGTCGTCTGTTTGCGTGGTCATGTCGGTGCAGGGTTCTCGGCATAAAGTCCACATGTTGTAGCACTGAGTAAAGTTGAAGAAGTTGCTGTTAAAAGTCTTTAATTCCCCGCAGACATCTCGTCGCAGCTCTGCCAGCTCATAGCGCATTGCAGAGATTTCATCCTTCCATTGCAAGTTGAAGGCAGCCACCATGTTAGCAGACTCCTTGAAGGCCTGGATGGCCTGAGGGACTGGTGGCTCAGAGGTGGCTATGGGTGAAACAGCGGGGATCCTATACAAAGGCGGACTTGCTGGCGGGACAGAGATGGCGGTTACAGTAGAGCTAGTACTGTGCTGGCTTCGAGCTGCCACCGTTTCTCTCTCCAGCCTCTCCAGCTCTGCATAGGCAGAGGAGCTAGCACCATCATCATCCTCTATCATGTCGTCATTTAGCAAGGAAGTCGCATCCACAATATCATATCCCTCTGGAAGAAAAATGTGAGTGTGCAGACAGAAGGACAATCATGGTGAAAGGAACAGCTGGAGTGTGATTTGATTCAGACACTAAATTGTCCCATATCTATGGAAAACATACAGCATGTGAGTGCATCCAAGCTTTCAAAGGGTCTACTAAGAGATGAACACCCATTGTGTCAGTAAAGTTGTGCTGTTCAAATGAGAGCATACCTGCATAATGGGCTTGAAACATGGAAGGTGACATTGCCTCTCCTCCATTCATTTTCAATGAGACATGCGCGACAAAGCGATAATCGCGGGTCTCCCTCCTACTGAGCGAAACGCGAAACACGTGCGTGTGACATTTTGTGCACGTGTCGTGCACAGGCGACCCAGCGACGCGATCCCAGAAAGTAGAAATATTTTCAACTTTTCATCGCTGTCGCTTGGACGAGGACCAATCAACGGACGTTTCATTCACTGACCAATGAGCGGACAGGATGCTCCGTACGTTTCCGAGCAAACATGGACTCCATTTCTCCTTCTGTGACTGTGTTCATCTTCATGTGAGGTCCAAACCGTGTGATAAATTGAAGCATGTCCCGATAGACAGAGTAGCCCTCTCCTGGTTTGTAATCTGGGATTAACCCATTCTCGGGTTTTATATAGTAAAATCAGAAGTAAGATTTCACATAACTCTAGCATCACCTTGTGAAACATCATATCTACAGCTTTATTAACTCTGAACCGCTTAAATAACCTTAATTCGCTCCAACCTGACACAGCCAATCAAAACAATGGAAGATTCGATTTCGCCATGGAACAGAACGCGTCGACGGCTTTGCCGCTGGCCGTGGGTCGCCTCCCGTGTGTCAGGTAATAAAAGCAACAGAGATGAATTTCGCTGATCGCGGTCGTTTGTCGGCTCCCGTGTGTCGAGCCCATTAGACTTGTACAACCCCAAGAGGCAGGAGGAATGGTTGCTGTTTGGGATTTGCAAATTATCCGTACATTCTGCAGGATCTTTCAATTTCCACAGATAGAAATACATTTTAATAAACTCACATACTGTAGGCTTTCACAATGTTTTACACTGCCTTCTCAGTCATCTCAAGGCTTCTTTCCATCTTTTCACTGCACAGCACAACAGACAAATGAAATGCATCAACCATCTTCAAATCAGAAATCCATTTTCTACTTTTTCTACCCCTCTCTCAGTGACTCTCAGTGACGTGAAACTTGTGCCATTTTGTGCAAAAGAAAAGATGCAAAGGGAGGGAGAGGAATCACAACCCACTGGGTTAGGAAGCAGATATGAACCCTATTGAACACGTCAGGTCCAAAGGTGGCTGATAAGACCGTGTGTAGCTCTAAGTGATCCAGTAAGGGGGCAGCATCAGGGAGAGGCTGCAATCCCACAGTCAGAAGCAGCTGACAAGCTCACCGCCAAGGGTTCAACTTTTAAAAGAAGTCACATTTTCATGGGGAAAAAGGTTCACACAGGTACTGCCCTGACAAATGACTGGAGACAGTAGCAAGGTGAGACATTCAGGACTATTTTATGGTTACGACATGAAAAGGTCTGAAACATTTACACTTACAATATGGTTCTAAAAACACTTAGACATGTAAACAACTCACAAAAGCCAGCATCACATTCATCATTTACTAGCTGTTCTTCAGGGCGTTTAAGATGAGGTTTTATGAGTTGCTTGGTTTTCTGAGGATATCAGAAGGAATTGCTTCTACCAACTATATAAACTCTATGGATCTATTGCTTTTTTACTGAGAAGGCAGTGCAAAAACACACATATACATAGATATATGTATGCGTGTCAACATTAAAATACCTGCAACAATCATCACTGATGCCTCCAGTTGTTCTTTCCCCCTGGTTATCCTTCAACATCTGGATGGAGAGGGCTTTTTTGCTCGTCTGCTCTATGGAGCATCATGGGAACCCTTTCCCACACAAGGGCCCGCTAACTTCAGGGTTTGCTTCATAAGCTGCTTTCAATTAGACTTTAAACTAGTGCTAAACTCTACCATGAAAATATGACTCCAGAATCTGTGATTGTCCTAACAGCTGCGTTTGATACGGAGGTCGCTGTTCTTTGAGAACAGCGTAAAAAGTACACCAAGAGGTCAACATTATTTACAGGGTGAGCAGGCAGCTGTGTCTGTAACTAGTTGCCATCCATCTAATACTTTATTTCACAAGTTTTAGTTAAATAACCATGCTGCCCTCCTAAATGCAACTCCACAATATCATCAAAATGCTGTTTTAGCCCATAAAGAGTCGACAGATTTGGAGCCAAAGAGTTCAACACGTCAGACAGTGGGATTGGAGAACACCCCTTTCTCCTCAGAGGTTCGCAGAGGAACCAAGTGTGGATGGAAGTCCAATTGATGATGGAATCATTCAAAAGCAAACTCCAGATTCATTAGGAAGACAAAGTCAAAGCCAAAGAAAAGTTCAATTGCCTCCAATGTTAAATGGACAGAAAAATGTACAAAAGCTTTTGGTCATGATGTAAAAAGACTGCATGGTTTTAGAGAAGAATGTTTCAATAGGGTTCATAGCTTTACTCTTGCAAGCAAACACCAAGTAAATACACTTACTGAAGGAGGTACTGCAAAGAATCTGCTTGCACAAAGAATCTCAGATGTGAAATTATCGTACTGCTGGTATTGTGTTCCACAAATCTCTGATATTTGAGGCTGTGATAAAAGAGCAGCTTTAAGAAAACGCAAAAGAGCTCATAAAACCACAACATGTTGAAAATTCTCCAAAATAAAATGGTTTCAGGTTGTAATTGTAACTATCGTGCAAATAAAACCATTGATATTTTGTCTCCTCTGTAAACTTGCAGTAAAAGACAAAAGTTAGTCAAAATCTTTTAAAAGACTGATTGTAGTTAAGGCTCCTAAAGCCGCTCACACATTAGAGCTTCATGCAGCACAATACAGCAATGCTGTTAATTAGTTAAGGTAGCACAATAAAAAAATCTGTTCCTTTGTGCAACCAGCGTCTGTATACATTTCTATTTATTTCCTTGACTTACCTTAAATTCATTTCTACAATTTTTTTTCATTTATTTGTGTGTTTTTATGGTTAATTAGAAAGCCGTTTAGCATTTGTGTACCAGTGCATGGGTGCAGCATCCCATACTCCTGTCTCATAGCGGACGTCACCCCTCCCTAAGTAAGTGACGGAGTTTGCAAAACATGAAATATAACACAGTTCAACATGCTTAGGGTCCAAACTGTTCCTGGTGTGCATGCCATGTATTGTAGCTGAGCTGTGGTAAATCTGTTAAATCTAAACTCCCAACCTGTTTCTCAGTTTAAAGTTGAAAAATAACCAGAAATTTAACTAAAGCCAGAAACATGCAAGGTAACGAGCAAAGATATCCATCTAAGCTAATGAAAGTTCAAATTATAATAATAAAATGAAATAAAAAAACCTGATTTTAACGAAACAACGGGAATCATTCAACCTGGCATCTCTGAATCTTAAGGGTTCCCCACTGTACATATGTAGGTATGTCAGGTTGTGCGCATGTATATGATGCATGAGGTTATGTAGACTAAGCCCTCTCTCGTTTCAGGGGGTTTGTTTTACCTGTTGTGGATCTGAGAGTTGAAGTGACAGTGGAGGATGTCATTGAAGGCAAGCAGTCGTCATCTTGGGAATAACCAGCCTGAATAGCACGGAGGTAACTGTGGCTTCGAGTGCGGAACGAACCAGGCAGGTCCAAAGCCTCCATGGCCTGGGATTCTACTTCACTAAAAACGGACTCGCAAACTGACTCAAACTGGCCATTGATCTCAGTCTCACTCACCTGAGAGACAAAAACAGGAATAGCAGTCCTTAATTTTTCCTCTTCCTTTCTCTTTCTCACTTTGATTCTTCCCCTTTGTACAGCAAATATGGAGGAGGGTTAGCATAAGGAAACGCCAGCGTAAAATCCGACCTTAAACTGGTGGAATGTCGGATCAAAATGAACAAAATGTGGATGAAAACAATAAAGAAATCAGAAAAAGATACAGAAGATTTTAAAAGGCATCAAATTTACCACAAACATCAGAAAATATATGTTTTACACAAAAATACACGATCAGTTCCTCTAATAAAACTACAAATCAAACTATTCGCAGATCCAACTCGTTGTTTTATATTCAAATAAGATATTTGAGGTTTTTTAAACTACATATTATCTAAAAATAGAATCATTTCTATAAACATCATCTCTCCTTTTTATTTTACTGTGCGTAAATAACAAAACCATTGAACAAAATGGGCCAAATTTCTGTCATTTAGGATTTCATGGGTAAGAAAATATTAAATGGTAAATTAAAACCCACAGGAGTAAAGCTGGCTGATTGCCCAACCCCACTTTAGACCCAAATCTCTCCTCCTGTTACTCCTCCTCCCTTTGCTGCTGGTTCTGTCATAGATCTTCATAGCGCAGCAACGGCGTCTCACGCCACTGACGAGGTCCGAAATCAGAATGATCCAACTGCATGAACTGGTGTTAAAGAGGGACATACCTGAAAAGGTTAACGCGTGATGCAAGGTTAGACATGAGACCGTCAACATCAAGTCTTCACTTTGATGAAAAAGAAAAAAAACTGTGGTTTTGGGAGACGTTGGTTAACGGTTTAGACTGCATGTCATTACAAACAGGCTGAGTTATAGATTACTGATGATGATACTAATTTGTAGGGATGTCCCGATGCAACTTTTTCACTTCCGATTCGATACCGATATTGCGGCCTTCAGTATTGACCAATACCGATATGAATCCAATACAAAACCAGCACAAATCATACATACTTTGTCCTATTTTGTAGTGTGGAATGCATGAAAGGCTTGATCAAGTGATATTACTCAGTCGAAAAACAAGAGCCAAGTATGAAAAACTTACTTTTTTTTTTTTTTACCAATTAGTTGCAAAAATGTGAACCTTAACGGACTGCTTATATCAGAGATTTTGGATGCTGTTTGATATAGTCCGATACACTGTTTTTGGGCCGTATCGAATTACTTCCGATATCGGAATGGGACATCCCTACTTATTTGTTCATTCTTTGTAATCTTCTAATTCCCCAAAAGATTCCTGAAAGTCTTTTGTTAAAGGAAAATTGAAAAAATTGGAATGACGTAGATCGGCCCTAAAAATGTCTACAGCAGATGAAGAGCTGTGTGTTGGCACACCTACCAGAGAAGAAGATTTCAGCCAATAGATCTCTGACGATCAATTTCTAGATTATATTCTGAGATTATTTAGGGGTTCATGAAAAAACAGAATGCCAACTAATGGTGTCCTTGTGACAGGCTGCTGGTACCAAATACCATCAGATCACTCCTTCATTCATTGATTCCGTGTATGTCTTTGTTTTCCATTTTCTTGTTCTTTTTTTTTGCAAAGTTCAGTAAAAACTAGTTTTTTTACCCAACATGTTTCAGCTAGTATCTCTAGCCATCATCAGAGATTGGCCGGTGTTGGTGGTCACTTCCTTTTATCCGCAGCCAATAGAAGAAAACACACACACACACACACACACACACACACACACACACACACACACACACACACACACACACACACACACACACACACACACACACACACACACACACACACACACACACACACACACACACATTCTGGTTTTCCCTGTTTAGGGGGACACACACATACTTGTTTTTAGTGTCTGAGGGGACTCAAGCTAAAACACACACTTATTGGGTCAGAGTGTTTCACATTATTATTTCATTATTTAATGACTTGTTATTCATTTGATAAAATCAGTTAGTTGATATTGATTGATTAACGCTTCAGAAGGAGCTGAAGTGATGATATTAGTTAATAAATGTATAGCCAATTAAGATTTTTGTCTCACACTGAGTTTGTTTTTGTGATATGAATTATTCAACTGCAGCTCGTTAGGATTCACGGAACATTTAGACGAGACAGATAATAGTTTTGGATTCAATTTGTCCCCTGTTCGAAGGGATGGTGCCCCGCAGATATCCCAGATATCCCAATTAATTAATAAATCGGTAAATATTTCCATATTTATGAATGTATTGAAGAATCCAAAAAGTAAGTAAAAGCTTACAAATCATTTGTTGACTATAGTCACAATATATATATATATATATATGTGTGTGTGTGTGTGTGTGTGTGTGAGTGTGTGTGTGTGTGTGAGAAAAAGAACTATGAGCTAGTTTGTTTTTGGAACAGTGAAATTAGTTCAAAAGTTTTTTTTAATTATCAGCTAAGAAACGACTAGTACATTTTAAAATGTATGAACTGAACTTTGAACTATTAAATGTTTGAAAACGAACTTTCCCAACACTGAAATTAGCATGGAGGAAGCGGGCGTGCAGTAGAGGGTGACACTGTGCGCTGCTGCCTGCGGATAAATGGAAGTGACGCCACCATCACCGGCGAGCTCTGATGATGGCTAGAGATGCTAGCTGAAATTTGTCAGGTAAAAAAATTAAACTACGTTTTACTAAACTGTGCAACAAAAGAACAAGAAAATGCCATCAGATCTAATTAAATTCTGCTTCTTTGTGAACTTTTCAATTACGTGTCAAGAAAACGCTGGCTCATCTCTGAGCCTTGGATGTTTTCATGTCTGCAAGATTCACAAAGTCATAGTTGAGAAGTTCAACAAACAAATATTAACATGAAAACGTTGAGGACTGAAAATGAGCAAAAAGCATCCAACGTCTCAATAAAAGTCTAAACAACGAAAACCTTCAGAAATGTCGGAGAACAGTTATTTAAGACAAATCTAAAATACCACTAAAGTCTGGTTTCTTGAAAGTAAATCATGTGAGATCTTTGGACGTTGCTGCATTCTCCTTAAAGGGACTTTACAGAGTTTTGAATTTTATGCTCGTGATTGCCCCCTCAGGCCAAAAGCGTAATGGCAGCTTCAATAGGAGGCTCGTGCATGAGGCGCGCATGCTGTACGTGCACACCCCTTAACGAAAATAACAGCTGAGACAGTCCCTTGTGTGTGTGTGTGTGTGTGTGGGGGGGGGGGGGGGGGGGTGGGGGGTGGGGGTGGGGGGGTCCCGGAGGACAGAGGACAGGAGAACGCGCAGCTAATGAATTAAATAATTTGGTTCTGTACCTTTCTCTTCAGCACAGTCGATAAAGGTTTAAGATGGGTCAGTCTTCCTGCATGCTCAGATCATTCCATTCCCTTGCTTGAAAAATTTTCCAAAACGAAAGTTGAACCCACATCTTTTTTATCTGTGAATTCAATGCCGTTCAGGAGTCTCAAATAAAAATTTCGGCATCTTACTGTAAAAAAAATATATCATTAATGTAAAAAAGAAATAACAAAGTTCACATCCAGAATCAAACTCGGGTCTTCTGCACGAAAACCCAAAGTCTTACTGAGCGAGCTAAAGCGCCAGTGGTGTCTTCTGTATCTGTAACATTTATATCCTTGATGACTGCTGAAACAACGTTCAAAGAACGGTTCGGAGGGCTATGCCTGAGCGTGAACGCACATGAAGCAGCCTGCTCGACCCGAGCAGCTCTCTTTTTCTGTGATTTTACAGAAAAATAGGCAATCACAGTAAAAATGCCAGGGCTCATTCTACAGGACCAGGGCATTGCAGGAGAATGTATGAAGAAGAAATGTAATATTTTTATACATGTTTTGGCTGTCAAACTTCCTTAATGCCCCTTTAAAGTGTGTAGAAAAATGCTTGATGCATGCTTGCTGTCTTAGAACTATAACTAAAAGCATCATGATGCGGCTGTGAAATGTCAGATTTGACTTAAAGACTTGAAAACACTAGCTTCAACCAAAAAATGTAATTTTATATTACAATCCTAATTCTTTTGTGTCAAGTCTCTGTATGTTTTCTTTGTCTCCTTAGCCTGCGTGTCAGATGGAGAGGACTTAAAATCTATAGAAGTACTTTTACAAACTGGATAAGATGAGTTTCTCTTCTGTCTTGCCTTTGTGTGATGGAGATTTGAGACTCACCTGGCTGACGCAGCTAGCCTGACTGAGGGTGCTGACGGCGCGCATGTAGCTCTGGTTGCGAGAGCGAAAAGGAGGGGGGTGGAAGGTAGTGGCAGGATCCAGCGTGACACTCGGGTGGGGCCGCAAATCTCGGGTTTGCAAGTGGTAACCCTGGCTGAACAAGGGGAGGGAGACAGACATGGTTTCACAGTTCAAAAGTCACAAACAGAACACGAGAACATTCCACAACTAAACGCACAAGGATTTTACCAGCTTTAAAGGTGCAATATGTAAGAATGACATCCTGTGGTCAAATTTGGTTTCTGCAGTCAATTTTTTAAACACAAAGCTCATGGCTGTCACCAGTTATGGATCAGCACCAGAAGCTTGCTGTTATAGTTCTGAATGACTCATTAACGGAAGTAAAACGCCACCATTGACTCATTATTCACTTCACACATACATTTCACTGTAATATCCAGTTGTTGGTCATTGAAAAATGAGCTTGGGAATTTGCTTCTAGTTCACCATTAGCATTGTTAGCTCACCATTAGCCTCTAGCCTGCATTACCCATTATTGGAATAAAACAAAAAGATGTCGTGGCTTCTTACTGGTACAATAAATAGTTTCTGGGTCGCTCCTGTTTACTGGCTTTGGTTCTTTAAACCAGTGTTAGCCAACCTTGGTCCTCAGGGGACACTGGCCTGCATGTTTTCCACGTCTCTGCTTCAGCACAACTTATTTACAATACCTCCTCAGGAGGAATGCAATTGCTGCAGATGCTTGTCAATCACTCATTCATTTATGTCAGGAGTGTGGCAGCAGGTAAACACTGGTGTTTAAAAGTGCAACACTGAAAACATGCAGGATAGTGTGCCCTGAGGACCAGGGTTGGGAAACACTGCTTTAACCCTCTCAGGTTCAAAATAAGTTTTGATAAAAGGATGAACAACTAAGTCCTTCAGGGGTACTTCTGAGTTGAAAAATGCTCATGAAATGCGTCTGTGGAGTAACCGGGTAGGTAGGTTTTAACGTTGCAAATCTGCAACACCTGCCTCCAGAGGGTTAAACAACTCTGGAGCTTTTTGCCAGCCGGTGTGGAATTACAAATGCCTGCTAGCTTGGTGCAGACTCTGTAACTTTACGGACTAACAGATTGTAAACAGTAAAGCCGGGTGGACACTGTGCGACTTTTTCACTTTTTTGCGCCGATTTTCCACTCGTGCGAGAATCCACAAGATCGGGGCGAGTCTTGCGCTGAGCGTCGTGTAGAGTACAGGGGGTTACGAGAAGCGATTAACACCACGTGACCAGCTACCGATCAGCAATCGTGAGCTCACACGGACTTCTGGAGTGTTTGAGGCAGCAGTAGCTCAACAGGTTGAGCGGGTTGTCCAGTAATCGGAAGGTTGCAGGTTCGATCCCGGATCCGGACAGAGAATTCTGCTGTTGTGTCCTTGGGCAAGACACTTAACCCACCTTGCCTGCTGGTGGTGGTCCGAGGGTCCGGTGGCACCTGTGCTCGGCAGCCTCACCTCTGTCAGCGCGCCCCAGGGCAGCTGTGACTACATCGTAGCTCATCCCCACCAGTGTATGAATGAGTGTGTGAATGGATGAATGATACACTGTAGTGTAAAGCGCTTTGGAGTCCTTACTCTGAGAGGCGCTATAAAAGTGTGGGTCATTTATCATTATCATTTGATATTTTGCTCATTCCTCATGAGGGTATCGCACTGTTGAAGCGGCGCAGCGAGCGGCTGCGACCCAAAAAGTACCAGAACCGCTCACGGCGCATGCGTAATCATGCATAAACACTGCTTGCCATTTCCCTAATAACACACTTTGTTCGCTTTTATTTCTACACGTTTTTTTTTTACACACAATGATAAGGATAGTCAAGAAAGCGTTTGTTGTGTTCATGTCAAATTAAACTGATCACAAAACACAGATTTACTTTCTTTATTTCGTTTTCCTCATCCAACCCCCATAAATCCCTGTGTGTCCTCCTGCAGCACTCCCGAAGGACAACAGGTAAAACAAGACAAAACAGTCTTACGTGTTGTGTAAAAACTGCTATTTTTAGCATATTTTTTAGGTCCGACGTGTTGCTACCAGACGTACAGTGTGAGCAGTCAAGTCGCAACTGAGAACTGGGCACATGACTCGTGAGATCTGCCCTGTGAGGAAGTCGTACAGTTTGAGCTGAAGCTGAGTGCTACGAGTGAAAAAGTCGCACAGTGTCCGCCCAGGTTAACAGCGTCCCTCTTTTGTTTTTGAAGGCTGACAACTCCCCAGCTGGTTCAGAATAAAATCTGTTTCAATGCAACCTTCCTTCCAACGTGATTGAGACGTTAGACTGTTTTGTGATTATTTCACTGTAGAATTCCTACACACTGCTCCTTTAAACATCCATGAAACAACCTTAGGAATTCCATCCCAAACCTGCAGAGCACAACTTGGTGTCTGGATGCTTCTTGTGAGTGAAAAACTGAGATTTTGGACCCACAAAAACAGCAGAATGTTACATTATTTACCAGCATGTGAGAAACACTTGCTTTTTTTCTTGTATGTACACAAAAGCAGAAGTGATCAGAACCCCACTGAGATGATGGCAATAAAAACAGCACCGTGCACTTAGAGGCAGAGGTATTGGTGCTCGATGCCCCTTTGGGATTCAGAGAGCTTGTTTTTTTAATACAACATGGTAAAAATAAGTTCATTCAATTTAGGGGCATTCTCTAAAAAGCAATAAGTAAGGTTATTTAAATGTATTTCTGTGAAGTTGCTAAGAGTTATCAGCATCTTACCTGTCGTAGACAACAGTCAGCAATCTCAGTTTGGAGAATCAGGGAGAAGTGTTCGTGGATTAGCCAAGAAAACGTCTACTAAGGCCCTGTCCACACGTAGCCGGGGATCTGCCAAAACGTAGATATTTTTCTACGTTTTGGCCTGTCATCCACACGAAAACGGAGTTTTTTCACACGAAAACGGATCTTTTTAAAAAGTCCGGCCAAAGTGAAGATCTGCGTTTTCTACGTTTTGGGTGTCTGCGTGTGGACAGACAAAACCAGAGTTTTAAGGTCCGCAACGTCACTTTCCGTGACAAAAAATGATGACATCAAGTGTGCGACCTGTGTTTACACTAGCCGGCATCATGGAAGCCCTCAGAGCTGCGCTCTGTCACTACCCGATCCATCAATTGTCCAAGCGCTTTTTGCTTTTTTGTTTTTGCAAGCGGAATTACTGCTCCATGCGGAAGACCACAGACGAAGGACGAGGTTAAGAATGGGGGAAGTACTGCCGCCTACAGGTCTGGCATGTCCTTAACAACGCATTTATCCGGGTACGTGTGGACAGTTTTTTTTTAAAACGCGGTGGTGTGGATGCAAGTTTTTGGAGGGGCGGATATTCGTTTTTAAAAAACCCCGGCTACGTGTGGACTAGGCCGAAGACGACCGATCAAAAGGCAAATGTTCTCCATCTAAATTCAACTTCTAACAACCTGCATCAGATCGTCGATGCTCGACAATCTAATTAGCAACATTTGTTGATGCGAGGAATCTCAGATGTGTCAGAAAACTCCAGTTTTTCATGTAACTGAACAGACTTTAGAGATTTTATACAAAAGTGATCAATTAACAGCAAAAGTTTAGGACTTAGCTTTGGGTTGACTTGTTTTAGATCACAGAAAATCATCCCTGCAGGGGCCGTCCTCAGGTTAGCTGTTTTCATCAGACTTTCTCCCACATTCTCTAAACAGGTTGATCTGACTGCGTCTGTTGCAGGTAAGATAGTGACTACTCTTGGTAGCTTTTCTAGGATTTTTCTTGAATTGACGCATCGTGTGTGAGGCTCAAGAGCTTTGATTGCACGAGCGTGTGCAGTGAATAAATGTGTGAAACTCAGCTACACATGTTGTTATCGACACTAAACCCCATTCATCAGCACCTCTGTCACGATCATTTGCTAAGATTTGCCTGAATTACCCGAAACACAAACTCACTGATGTTGGCAGCCAGGCGTACCTTTGGGAGTCTAGATGGGGTCTGTGCATGGCTGATTTGAGGACAAGAGCATCTGGTCGAATGGCCTTCTGAGGAGAGATTTTCGGGCTGGTGTCGGAATCCCCGCTTTCATCCTCCAACTCCCCCATAGCTTTGACGTAGCTGCTGCTCCGCATGCGGCGACATGGGATCTCCTCATCCTTATCTCCGGGGTATCCGCTCCACTCGTCCTGGGGCACCTGAAAGAAACAACGTTCCACTCAGATAATTGTTCGTGGAGACATATTTGCAAGTATAATGAAGCCCATTAAGGCAAATGAGTCTAGGCAGTAGCAAGACAAGCAAACAACAATTCATGCTTTTTATGCTAAACTGCACTGACCTTTGGGTCTGAGTTTTCCTATGCAACAATCGAAGAGCTCAACCTTAAAGACCAAAAGTCTAAGCTTTAAGATGTTAGAGTTCCTGCACCATAATACTTTCTGTTTGATCCACCTACTCACATGAAAACTAGTATCATCTCCTTCTACTTTCATCGTACAAAAGTGAAGTCAGAAGTATAACGTTTACTGTTTCCTGCATAAATACTCCCTGGTTTCTTAAAGAGCAAGTCTCCCCCAAATCAACTTATTTTTTCTGATAAACTATATAAATACGTGTCTAATCGTGCTGCAGACACGTGTAGTTAATAGTTTTGCACTTTAGTGCATTTTAGTTAAAATTTAAATTTTCTGCCTAAAAGTGTCAGTGTTGTGCCGTTGTCAGGTAAAAACTCTGCACTGCATTTGAATTTAAATCTGCCATCACTATTGGCTAAGAGGTACCCTAGAATGGTAGCTGGTACCATATGATGTCACAATGTCGGTGTGAGCCTTTGTGTGTGTGTATTTGTTAGCGGCTCTGCCCTCTCGGTCTGCTAGGCAACAGCATTTGTTTCATTTTTCAAACAGGAAGTGGGAGTGGAGTAACTCTGGTAGGGGGTGACTTGCTCTTTAAGTTGATGCTGCTCAGAGTATAAATGTGCATGCATGATATCTTTTGGCTAATTTAAAGCTTATATCAAATTTTGCATTGAGTGTCCTTATAAAACAAACAATGACACTGGTTATAGCGATGGTTACTTGTTTTACTGTTAAGCCATTCACAAACATATTCACTTTTTATTGGCATGTGACTTTCCAAAACTTCAAATAATAACATTTAACTATTTATTTCGGGAGTATTTATGTTGTGTGGTAATATCTTAATGTTTAAACAGCCTAAGGAGCAATTTTCTAGGGGTGGCCATCCCCACAACGGCGTAATTCATTTATTGTCTCACAGAGCGCCGTCGAAAACAAAGGCTTCTTCTGGTCCTTGAACGCAGCTGCTCTCGTGCTCCAAATGGATTAAATATAACTGTTGTTTGATAGAATAAAACCTTTAATAGTGTTAATGTGGACGCCTTTTGGTGCTGATCAGTGACATCACTCACTGCTGAAGCAGTTACGATGTGCTGACCAAGTCCCAAAAGAGCTGAATGTGTACGGAGGCACAGCAGCTGAGAGGACGGAGACATCCTATTTCCTGCTCAGTTCCCCCTTGCAGAATTCACCCTGAAGTTCTGACAATGGAAACACGCCTATTAGCAGGCATCTGCAGCACTTGACGTCCTCCTGAGGAGGCCAGATATGTAAATCAGGTGACATGGAGGGTTCCTGAGGACCAGGGTTGAGAAAACCTGGTTTAGCGCGTCTTGATTTATTGTGACTGATGTGCACCAGTCAGCGCTGAAACACAAGAAAAGGCTGTATCATTATTTTGAGTGTGCTGACACCAGAAAGGAACATCTGTGCTGATGACAGATAAACAAAGCAGTTTCCTGGAAACAGCTTTACTTTTCAAATTCTAGAGGAAATGACAAAAACAACCAGTTTGGGGGTATTTTTTTGCGCAGCTTGTAGTTTAATTGCTAAAAGTTGTTTTGGTTCTTAAACTTTTATTCAGTACGGAGCTTAAGACCATAATTTTACATTGGTAGAAATTCATCCGTTCACATCCTGTACGTGTCTGAACCAGTGAACATAACACATATTTAAAAGGTGCTCTGTCAGACCTATTTGTTCGTGTCATTAAACTTTCCTTAAGGTAATCCTGGATTGATAAAATTACCCAACAATCATAAACTTATATTTGTATTTTTATGCTCATTTTAACTGCAGTAGAAAAATGCATCCTTGTTAAATACTTGCACCGTTTTATCAGCACTTAGCAAATATTTTGCTTGTTACAGCATTTGGAACACCAATTTTAAATGCTACATGTAAACTAATCTAATCTAATCTAATTCAATTAAATTCAATTCAAATTCTATTCAAAAATACTTTATTAATCCCAGAGGGAAATTCAATAATAATAATCTAATCTAATCTAATCTAATCTAATCTAATCTAATCTAATCTAATCTAATGTGATTTTAACTAATCTAATCTAATCTAATCTAAACTAAACTAAACTAATTTTCGTCGTTGTCGTCTTCTTCCGCTTATCCGGGTCCAGGTCGCGGGGGGCAGCATCCCAACTAGGGAGCTCCAGACCGTCCTCTCCCCGGCCTTCTCCACCAGCTCCTCCGGCAGGACCCCAAGGCGTTCCCGGACCAGATTGGAGATGTAACCTCTCCAACGTGTCCTGGGTCGACCCGGGGGCCTCTTGCCATCAGGACATGCCCGAAACACCTCCCCGGTGAGGCATCCAGGAGGCATCCTGACCAGATGTCCAAACCACCTCAACTGGCTCTTTTCGATCCGGAGGAGCAGCAGTTCTACTCCGAGTCCCTCCCGAATGTCCGAGCTCCTCACCCTATCTCTAAGGCTGAGCCCGGCCACCCTACGGAGGAAACTAATTTCGGCCGCTTGTATCCGCGATCTCGTTCTTTCGGTCATTACCCAAAGCTCATGACCATAGGTGAGGATTGGGACATAGATCGACCGGTAAATCGAGAGCTTGGCTTTCTGACTCAGCTCTCTCTTCACCAAGACAGATCAGCTCAGCGTCCGCATCACTGCAGATGCTGAACCAATCCACCTGTTGATATCCCGATCCCTCCTACCCTCACTCGTGAACAAGACCCCGAGATACTTAAACTCCTCCACTTGAGGTAGGACCTCTCCCCCGACCCGGAGTTGACAAGCCACCCTTTTCCAGTCGAGAACCATGGTCTCGGATTTGGAGGTGCTGATCCTCATCCCAGCCGCTTCACACTCGGCCGCGAACCTACCAGCAAGAGCTGAAGGTCAGAGCTAGATGAAGCTAGGAGGACCACATCATCTGCAAAAAGCAGAGATGAGATTCTCCTGCCACCAAACTTGACACACTCCACACCACGGCTGCGCCTAGAAATTCTGTCCATAAAGGTAATGAACAGAACCGGTGACAAAGGGCAGCCCTGGTGGAGTCCAACCCTCACCGGGAACAGGTCCGACTTACTACCGGCTATGCGGACCAAACTTACGCTCCTCTGGTAAAAGGACTGAATGGCCCTTAACAGAAAGCCACCCACCCCATACTCCTGGAGCGTCCCCCACAGGGTGCCCCTGGGGACACGGTCATAAGCCTTCTCCAAATCCACAAAACACATGTGGATTGGTTGGGCAAACTCCCATGCCCCCTCCATCACCCTTGCAAGGATATAGAGCTGGTCCACAGTTCCACGGCCAGGACGAAAACCATATTGCTCCTCCTCAATCTGAGATTCAACTATCGATCGGACCCTCCTCTCCAGTACCTTGGAGTAGACCTTTCCAGGGAGGCTGAGGAGTGTGATCGCCCTATAGTTGGAACACACCTTCATGTCACCCTTCTTAAAGATGGAGACCACCACCCCGGTCTGCCACTCCACAGGAACTGCCCCCGATGACCATGAAATGTTGCAGAGACGTGTCAACCGTGACAGCCCTACAACACCCATAGCCTTGAGATACCCAAGACGAACCTCATCCGCCCCTGGGGCTCCGCCGCCGTGTAGTTGTTTGACTACCTCAGCAACTTCTGCCCCCGAGATTGGACAGTCCATCCCCAGGTCTCCCGGCTCTGGTTCCTCCTCGGAATGTGCTTAGGTGGGATCGAGGAGCTCCTCAAAGTATTCCTTCCACCGTCCGACTATAGCCCCAGTTGACGTCAGCAGCTCCCCATCCCCACTGTAAACAGTGTAAGCGAGTTGCTGCCTGCCTCTCCTAAGGCGCCGGACAGTTTGCCAGAACCTCTTTGGAGCCGATCGATAGTCTTTCTCCATGGCCACACCAAACTCCTCCCACGCCCGAGATTTTGCCTCTGCAACTGCCACTGCTGCACCCCGCTTGGCTATCCGGTACCTGTCTGCTGCCTCCGGAGACCCACAGACCAGCCACGCCCTGTAGGCCTCCTTCTTCAGCCTGACGGCTCCCCGAACCTCTGGTGTCCACCAGCGGGTACGGGGGTTGCCACCACGACTGGCAACGGCCACCTTGCGACCACAGCTATCAACAGCCGCCTCAACAATCGCAGAGTGGAACAAGGTCCACTCGGAGTCAATGTCTCCCACTGCTCTCGGGATGCGGTCAAAGCTCTGCCAGAGGTGGGAGTTGAAGACCGTCTTAACAGGTTCTTCTGCCAGGCGTTCCCAGCAGACCCTCACTATGTGTTTGGGTCTGCCAGGTCTACGCGGCATCTTCCCCTGCCATCTGATCGAACTCACCTCCAGGTGGTGATCAGTTGACAGCTCCGCTCCTCTCTTCACTTGGGTGTCCAAAACATACGGCTGCAGGTCAGATGATACGACTACAAAGTCTATCATCAACCTGCGACCTAGGCTGCCCTGGTACCAAGTGTACCGATGGGCATCCTTATGTTCGAACATGGTGTTCGTTATTGCCAAACTGCGGCTTGCACAGAAGTCCAATAACAAAACACCACTTGAGTTCAGATCAGGTGGGCTGTTCCTCCCAGTCACACCCCTCTAGGTCAAGCTGTCATGGCCCACGTGAGCACTGAAGTCCCCCAGCAGGACAATGGAGTCCCCTGATGAAGCACTATCTAGCACTCGTCCCAGGGACTCCAAAAAGGGTAGGTACTCTGAACCGATATTATGCCCATAAGCACAAACAACAGTCAGGACCCATTCCCCGACCCGAAGGCGCTGGGAAGCCACCCTCTCGTCCCCCGGGGTAAACTCCAACACACAGGCCGAGAGTCTTGGGGCTAACAAAAAGCCAGCCCCAGCCCT